ACCGGTCAGTGTCCATTTGCACCAAAGCTGCAGTGCAGGGACCTGAGGAATGGGCAAAGGGTCAAATGTAGGGGTGGATGCAACAAAGAATTGTGGGAACAATGGACAGACTCAAAGTGGTTGGGCAGAGAGGAACCACGGGATCCAAGGCAAAAGAACTTCAACTGAGCAGCATTAACAGAAGAGGCAGTTTGGGAAGACAGCCATAGGTGCGACCCTGAGGCCTGGGAGAGTGGCAGCAGAACCCACACATGATTTGGAGGAAGGTGGTCAGAAAGCCAGTGGAATGAGGGGGAGGGATGAAATCCTGCCAGTGACCTCAGCAGAGTCCTGATAAACTGAGTTAACTCATCCCTAACTAAATAAAAATCACGATGACCATGAACTTTATTTGTAATGTCTTCCCTATAGAGATCAACAAAGAAGTCTCTCGTCCTCCCTCACAGAGCTTGCTAACATTCTCCTTTCCCATTTACCCAATTTACTTTGACTAGAACAGCCATCCACTGAATTCATTAAAGGTTTTTGTTGTGAAAGTGTCTTGACTCTGGATAGTGTCTTCAATAAAACATGTCTCACTTTGTTCTCTCTCAGTCAGTCTCCCTGGACGCCCCACATAATCATCCTTTTGTAAACAATGCAGGCTTTGAAGCCACTAGGAGCTCTGCAAGGCTGAGAGAGACGAGAATGAGCTACAGGCTCCCTGGTGGAAACCAGAGACTGGAAATCTTTCGTAACCTTCACTGTTTTTCCTGATTATGAAAGTAGTGAGTGTTCATTATAGAAAATACATGAAAGCACCAAGAAAAAACTATTATCCAATGGAGATAAGCAAACATAACATCTGGTTTAGAGTATTTTGGTTTTAGAGATTATACATATATGTAAAATGCTTTTAGTTTTTAAGCATTAAATTATGTGGAAATTTTATTTCCTTTTTTTTCTTTCACTTGATGCAGATCAAAAGTATCTCCCCATGTCAAATCAATATTCAGCGTACGGATTTTTAGTGACAACATATTAGCCCATCCTATTGAATTTCTGGTACTTTATAGTTCAGGATTCCTTTTTTGCCTTTTTATATTAGGCTGTTATGTTTGCTCTGTGGTTATACATTCAAACCCTGCCTTATTTGTTTCCTCTTTATGCTTTCTGAAATTTAAGACACTGGTTCTGAAACCCAGAAAACCCTGCTAAATAAGCATTGGAAAATAGAAATTCTGTTCTGTCTTGAGTTCTGCCATCAATTCCCTAAACAGCTGTGGCCAAATCCCTCTTCTCTGTGTGTCATATTCCACATCTGTCATGTTGCACTGTCTAATTTAAACATACTGTACTTTGGTAAATGAGAGGATTCCACCTGGCCAGCCATGGCACTGAGCTACAGAAGAGCTGGCGTTTCCTACAGAGAAACGATCATAATGGCGTGGGCCAGACATTGTGCTAAGCACAGTACACACATTATTCATTTGATTCTCCCAACATCCCAGTGAGGTAAGAACTATTATTCACATGCGGTAGAAGAAGAAAATGAGGCTCAAGGAGGTTAGGTAACTTGGCGGACACCCAGCAAGTAACAAGTTGGGGTTCAAGCCCAGCTTTCACTCGTAGCCCCTGGCGATGGCTATTGCTTTTAATGGAGTAAAGCACTCCTCCCAAAAGATTCCAAACTCTGTAACCACGTCCTGTGAGGGAGCATAATGACCAATTGCTTTTCAAACACGTCTGCATCTTTTAGAAGCCAGTGGGCGACTGTACATGAGACAGATTTTCTTAAATGTTCAAATGAAGTAGGAAGTACTGAAAACAGATGTGTGATACAGGAAAGAAAAATGGCTCTTCAGACACAACTCTGGAAAATTGAGACAACTCTAGGATCCAATTTAAAAGAGAGTCCCAGATCCTGACATTTCCGAGGGCCCTGGTCTTCATTATCCTTCCTGAGTATTTTAATCACAAAAGTATGTAGCTCTTTAATATCTCCTTCGTCCTGCTCCTCCCTTGCACAAGGAAATGGTATTTTGAGTTTTTGAAACCAGCCCACAGATACAGGTCTATTTTTGTGAATCCAGACACATCCCTCCATATTCCCTCACCATCCCATCCTCCACTGTGTCTGTCCCTCCCTCCCTCCCACCCTCACACGCACAAAGGCCCTCAAGGAGACCTCAGAATAGAGAGGACCTCGCCCACCATGCCTGCCAGCCTCCCTGCCCCATGATGACTCACACATTTCACACAGCCACCAAGACAGAAGAGAACTGATCACAGAACAAGCCATTGCCACCCTTCAGTCTGAGCTTTCTGCAGCTAAGCCTCTGCCTGCCGGCTCTGGTACTATCTCAGTGCAGCATCCAAGTGACACCCACATTTTTCTGGAAGAGGAAGAAAATGGGGAAGAGACGGAGGACAGCTTTGGCCTGCTGGGACTAAAGCTATGCTGTCCAGTTCAGCAGCCACTAGTCTCATGTGGCTAGTGAGTACTTGAAATGTGGCTAGTCCAAAGTGAGATGTGCTACAACTGTAAAATACACACCAGATTTCAAAGATAATATACGAAGAAAAGAATGTAGACTATCTCAGTAATGAATTTTTAATTGACTATGTGTTGAAATGATACGCTGGGTAGATTGGAGTAAATAAAATATATTATTAAAATCAACTTCAGGGAATTCCCTGGCAGTCCAGTGGTTAAGACTTCACCTTTCAATGCAGGGGGTGCAGGTTGGATCCCTGGTGGGGGAGCTAAGATCCCACATGCCTCGCAGCCAAAAAACCAAAACATAAAACAGAAGTAACATCGTAACAGATTCAATAAAGACTTTAAAAACCACATCAAAAACATCTTTAAAAAAAAAAATCAAAAAAAAATCAAGTTCACCTGTTTTCTTTTTACTTTTGTAATCTGGCAACTAGAAAATTTTTAAATTGCATATATGACTCATATTCCATCTCCATTGTATTTCTATCGGGCTGCACTGGAGTTGTAGCATTTCTGCTGGCTCAGGTAGGTAAGACAGGACTTGAGTTTGCTGCCTCTGCCTTGGCAGCCACGGAACTGATCAGATCTCACCTCAACTCAGCTCCTGTCACAGTGGGTCTGTTCTTAGGTTCGTCTGGATGTGTTTGAAAGGAGCCTACTCCAGCATGTGGCAAATCCAGGGCATGGGTCTTTTTCAAATGTCTTAGAAATCCAACCCCTCTCTGCCCTCCGCTGAAGGTGAGCGGTTAGAAGACGAAGGTCACTAGCTCCCCTTTCAGAAACTTCCTTCTTCAGGAAGGACAAATCACTCCCATATGGCCCAACCTAGCCCTGGGTCCTTCCGCTGCACTCCCTTTCTCTCTTTTCCTCCCAAGATAGAAGGCCACCTCCCAGGGAAGGATCTGTAGCAGAAAGAGGCCTGCCCTGAAGAGATCTGGAGGAAAAGTCTTTATGTGACAGCTTTGGGTACCCTACACAGGCATCCTTCAGCCAAGTCTCATCATCTTCTGATCTTCAGGAAGAGCCGAGAGGATGGTAATACCCGGGAAAATATTGCAGAGCAAACTTCCCTCTGGCCATATTCTGCAAACTCCTCAAAGAAGCCTATCTCCAGAGGCATACTGCTTCAGGAGCTTCAGCAGTGGCTTGAGAAATTTAATGGTCACCGAGTACACAGTGCAATAGCCAACATCAGCTTTCTTAGAAATGCAGGTACACGGGCTCTGCTGCAAAGTTTCTGAGCTAGCATCTTCAAATGCGTGCCCCAGGAATCGATGTCTAAGAAGATTCCCAGGTGACTTGTATGCACGGTAGAATCTGAGTGATACTGCTAGAATTCACAACTGCTGTTTTTGCCTGATAGCATCCACTTACTCTTCTTCCAATTACACCCCCTGATGTGCCTTAGGAAACCCCTTCTCCCGGTCTCAGGATGTACAGCAGGGACTAGACTGTTCCTTTAATTCCAAAAAGTACATGAGAATTAGGCCTGGCCAGTTAGAGCCTTGGGAGCACCTGGAATCTGCTGCAGGTCACCCCTGGGGTGGATTGAGGGGATATATTCAGGTAGCCCACTAGCACCTGCTACAGCCTCCCTGTAAGACTCTGGATAGTTCCTTCTGCTAAAGACACATTTGAAAATCACAGGTCTCAGTGATCTCCAAGGTCTCTTCCAGCCCTGCGGCTCCATGGTCCAGTGCCTCACAAGCTCCCTCATGGACACACCTCTGAGGGAGCAGGCATAGGAGGTGCTGCTGTGTCCTTGGAAAGGCAGAGAGGGCATCGCTCTCTGAGAGAATGCGGTGTTCTCTTCAAACTACTCTCTGTCTAGTGGAGGAAGATTTCTGATGTGGGTAGATTTACCTCAGCTCTAATCCCTTTAGATGTGACATGGTGAACAGGCAGCTGAGATAACCCCTTCCATGATTGTTCCTCCTGAAGTCCAGTCCTCAAAGTACAGCTTCAAATAATACCAAAGGGCTAACTGATGCCCAATTTCTGGGGCTCCCTTTATAAACAATGGGAATCCTGGGGCCTTGCGTGTTATGGTTGACCCCACCCCCCAAGCATCTCACCAGTGTAGGGGCATGGCGGGGTTGACGGTGGGTAGGGGGTGGGGTGGGACCCGCAGGGACTGGCGATAGGTGAGCAATCCGGAGGGTCTGGGCTGCGCGTGGGAGGTTTTACGTTTCCTGACCTGGCTTCTCTCAGGACAGGTCAGACATGTCCAGGTCCAGAAAAGCCAATCAAGGAGAAAATGGAAGACATATCCACAAAGAGAAAAGATCATTTAGGTTTACAGATTTGAGGTCTCAGAAGAGAACTATTACCTGGGGGACCAGCAGAGAGGATGTTTGCTCAGCTCAAGAGACTCGCTAAATGGAACCTAATAATATGAATTTTCTCTGTGAAGGGGGAATCTTTCAAGAACTTAATTAACTGCAGAGATTTTAAGAAGAGTCATCTCTTAAACTGACCAAAGCCCCATTTTCCATTTCCTGCACGCACCTGTTATTACCTGCTCGCATGATGGAGGTCCTTATGATGGCCTCATTCAGACTGAAGCTTGTGTTTATCATGCTGGAGACAACTCGCCTGAGACTGTCTGTTTTCCTAACTTCAGAGGAGGCTCTGTAGGACAGAGGAAAGAAACTTTGAGGTTACACTGCTGGATCTGCTCTTTCTTAATGCTGTGGCCTAGGGCAAGTCATTCACATGTCTAGCTTGATTAAAACTTCAATACAATGGCTTGAACCAGATGATCTCTAGGGCCCCTTCCAGCTCTAACAGGATTCTAAATAGAAACCCTGAGGAGGGGCTAGTCTGTGCAGCCATAGGGAGTCCTCGCCATCCCAACTCAAAGAACACAGCCTCCGGGATGCACACCTCTGGGACCAGGCCTGTTTCACTTAGCCCATAGGGGAGTGACAGCTAGAAACTCCCTGACTGCAGAGTGGAGACAAAAAGCACCAGGGCTTCCCTTGTGGGCTCTCTGCACAAAAATATTGGACCCTGAGCTGGCTTCCACTGCCTTCTGCTGCACCCTCATCTCCCTGGAGCCAGTCGCAGCCTGGCACTTGCAGCTCAGAGCCTTAGAGGGGACAGCCCCTGCCAGAGAGATGAGGCATCATCACCTTGTGCTGAGAGCTATCTTTCTGCCCCCAGGACTAGGCCCCTTTAAGGGACATGGAAACATCCTACAGCCCTCCACCCTCTCCCAGAAGAGGGAGGGGAACATATGGTCTCTGTAAAGGACATCTGCCATGCATCTAGCCCTAAACAGCACGGCTGGAGCAAGTCACACTTCCATCCAGCTTGCCCTGAGAGCTCAGATGGTGCGCATTTGGGCTCTGGTGACAGGCTGAGCCTTTCTTTCCACAGCTAAGGAGACAGGAAAAGCTCTTTCAAGACTCTTGATTCCTGTCTGGGGTCTTTGGAGCAGAGCTGGAAGTAGTTGGCTGTTATGGCTTGGATCTAGAACTTCCCATCCAGACTCATGTCTTTATGAGAGCAAATTCCAAATACTGTCCAGCTGAATGCAAGACCTAAGACAAGGACCCAACAGTGGTGCCACTGAAGAGTTCATGAGGGAATTAGACATGGCAGCTCCAGATTCTTTTCTAGCCCCACAAGGATTGCCTGCTGCCCCACATTTGGGGCTTAGAAATTGCTTTTGGAACTGCTTAGTACGGATGCAGATTCCTTTCCTCCCTTGGCTCAGCTGTTACACTGCCTTTATGGCTTTTTTAAGAGGTCATCTGTGAAGTTTTACTTTTGTGTGTGTGTGTGTAGTTTTTTCCTTCTTTTCCCTCTACTGTGGTCACTGGACATAAGAAACAATGGCCTATACACCCAAAAGAATTGAAAGCAGGATCTCAAAGAGATATTTACACACCTATGTTCATAACCACATTTTTCACAGTAGCCAAGAGTTAGAAGGAACCCAAGTGTTCATGTACAGATGAATGGATAAACAAAATGTGGTGTGTGCATACAATGGAATACTATTCACCCTTAAAAAGAAAGGAAATTCTGACAAATGCTACCACATGGATGAACCTTGAAGACATTATGCTAATTGAAGTAAGCCTGTCAGGAGAAGATAAATATTGTATGATTCCATTTATCTGAGGTTTCTAAAGCAGTCAAAGTCATAGAGACAGAAAATAGAATGGTGGTTGCCAGGGGCTGGGGGAATCAAGAATGAGGAATAGTGTAATGGGTATAGAGTTTCAGTTTTGCAAAATGAAGCGAGTTCTGGAGATTGGTTACACAACAATATGAGTGTACTTAACACTGCTAAACTCTAGACTTAAAATGGCTAAGGTGGTCAATTTTATGTTATACGTATTTTACAACAATTAAAAATTTTTAAAAGAAAGAAACAACAAGTGGCAGTAGATGAGGCACATGGGAAAGCAAGGCCCGTGTGGATTCCATATTCACGTGTCGCAACTACTCTGGTGGCAAGGCCACAGTACAACAAGAGTACTTGACACTCAGTGTGTCTCAAGCTGAGCCCTTGTAAAGACAGGGCCCAGTTCTGCTCTACAGCCCAGTGCTGCACTCAGTGTTGGTCAGAAAAATTTAGCCTACCTCCCTCTTAGAATTCACCTGGGTCACTGAAGCCTTCTCTGCACAAGAAACCTGAGCACACACCTGAAGGACCCATTGCCAGCACGCAGATGTGAATGCCTAGTGGTGTGTTACACACTGAATTGACAGAACAGAGATAGCTCCTGCTTCCACTCTGACTGTTTCAGACCTATAGTCTGAAACACACTACCAAGGAAGCAGCGGATGGACTCTCAAAGCCATGACCGTTGCAGAAAACTTTTTTTTCTAACTACCCTCCATACTGGCCCCCAAGAAATAGCATAGCTGTAGAGCAGTTCAAAATGTCTGCTAAAGGGACAGCAGTTTGCCTGAATCTGACCTTGGCTCTGCCTTTTTCTCATTGTTTTGATATGAGCATATTATTTAACTTTTCTAACTTTCATCTTTAAAATAAGGATAATGCTATAGGTGCTTGTTTGGGTTTGGGAGGGTTAAATGAATGCTGCTTGGGGAGCCCTTACCCCAGAGCCTGCACACAGTAAGTACTTGATAAGTGAGGACTTGTTACTATTTTCTCCAACCAGCCAAATCCTACCCATGTTCCAAGAACCAGCTCAAGCCCCTTTTCTTCCATAAAGTACTCCAAGAGCCCACCATGAACCAAAAGCCCACTCTGAACTCTCCCATAACACATTATTTGAACGCTTCATCTTTGTGGCAACTCTGAAGGGATCAGGGCTCATCAGGTCTCTCCACAAGGCAGGGTGGAGAGGGTTAAGAGGTGTCATTCTTAGAACTCCCAAATGTATAGGAATTGTAAGCGATACCCCATGGATTGCACATAATAACTGATAAAACAAGAATTCAAAACGTGGCCCTGTTCATTCTTGCAGCTGGGACTAACCTTATTTGTATTCTATGATTTGAGACGTACCAGAAAAGACTGTCACCCTCAAATCTCTCCACACCAGTGCAGAGGGCCTTTTTTGGGTTCAACTGTCTCCCTACCCCTCTTCTTTCAAGTGTAAAATATTTGTTAAGAGGGATTTTACACCCGTCTTACCTATGTGAGTTTCTTGATTTTTCTGAGACTGTATTTTTAGTTATAAATTTACAATGTTTGGGGGCAAGGATTCAGAAACAAGAGAGATGGATCCTAGAGAAAACCTGATCTACTTTATAATTAAGCCACCTGTTCATTCTGCCCATTTCCACACTCATTCAGTAAATATTTCCTGAACAGCCACCATATGGCAGGCACTGTTTGCCCCTGCAAGGGTGACTCTGCTGGGAAAGCCCTCTTCAAGACTCTGAGAAGGGAATTCTCCAGTCTTTCCAATGCTGTTTTCACAGTCAGCATATTCAATATCTCTGCTTGGTGATATGGGAAACATAAAGCCATTCAATGGAACAACTTTAGTTCTAGCGCAGTGACTTAATTATCTCTTATCCTGAGTACCTCATATGTTTCCAGGCATATAGGTTAGTAAGGTTGGATGGATGAATGGATGAATGGATGGATGGATGGACAGATGGATGGATGACGGATGTTGTAGATAACATGAGACTCAGTCTGAGTTCCCTAGCAGATACCAACACAAAGATTTGAATGCAAGTCATTTACTTGGGAGATAATCCCAGGGAGCTGATAAGGAAGAAGGGAAGTGAGACAAGTAAGAGAAGAAAGCCAATAAATGGTGTGTTATAAAGCAGGTTACCGCTCTGACAAGCATTTGGTTACTTACCAGGCACTGAATACTGAATGTCTCCCCTGCCTTCCTACCCTACCTAACTGAATGGTTATGGAATGCAGATGTTCTAAATGAGAATGTGAATGCACAAATATTTTATGTGATGTTACTTGCCTTCAAGTAACATCAAGTTACTTCAAGTTCTTTTTACCATCCCTTAAGACCAGGGGCTTCCTAGAGATTGCCCAAGATCGTGGGTGAATTCAGTATGTCCTTGGGCAAATTTAAGTAAAGTTTCTAGAAAATATATTTCCTTTTTGATATGTAAGGAAATAGCTTTGTTTAAAGTCACTCATCTATCTCAGGACAGGATAGTTTACTTTTAAGACTAGCTGAGTTTATATCCCATCATCATTTCTTAGCTATGTGACCTTGGGCAGGCTACTTAAACTCCCTTTCCCCATCTGCAAAATGGCGATAATAATAGCATCTATCTTGTAGGAATGCTGAGGTTATTAAATGAGACTGTTGGTTAAGCGTTTATCAGTGACTGACAAAGAGTAAGTACTCAATAAATACAAGGTATTCTTATTATTGCCTGGAATGAGTAAAAATGTGTGCTAGATGAATTTAAAAATTCTAGTTCCACTAACATTATTAAAAATACAACCATAATTGTGGTATGCAGATAGATAAAACAATCTGGACTTCTCATAAAAGTTTGGAGCTTTTGTGAATACTAAGAAAAAAAGATGAATTGGGCTTACCATCTAATACCAACAAAGATGAAATAAAACACTTAGGGGACTTCCCTGGTGGTCCAGTGGCTCAGACTTTGCACTCCCAATGCAGGGGGCCCAGGTTTGATCCTAGTCAGGGAACTAGATCCCACATGCCGCAACTAAGAGTTTGCATGCCGTAACTAAAGGTCCAACGTGCCACAGCTAAAGGTCCCGCATGCCACAACTAAAGTTCCCACATGCTGCAACTAAAAGATCCTGCATGCGGCAACAAAGATCCCATGTGCTACAACTAAGACCTAGTGCAGCCAAATAGATAAATTAATTAATTAAAAAAAAAACAACCCTTAGTTCTGTGAATTTAATTCTCTGATGTCAAATCTTAGAGGGACCAGGATTTAAGGGTACAGGTAACCTCCACTTTTCCAAAGTTCACTTTATGCTAATTCGCTTTTACAAAAGAACTATATTAGTACCTGTTTTCACTAACTGAAAGAAATCTGAAGAGGATTTTAGCTTTTACAAAGAAAGGCTGAAAATGAAAATAGTGTTCAACATTTGTTTTGCAGGTGTCATGGAGACAGTGCACACCCCAAGCAGAGAAGTGACAGTGGCACCACCAAGCTCGTTCCCCAGGATCTAC